CCCATGTCACAAAGCAGCTCTTAGAAGAATAAAAGAATTAAAAGTACATAATGTGATTTTTAATAAGGTATAAATATACAAGTTAAATTTTACATGTACGCACAAATCCAGATGGGTGAATATCTAACAAAAACAAAAACTATGGGCTTTAATATAGGATTAAAGGATAGAAGTTTGTTATAGCTAAAGAAAAGAATGCAAAAAACTCAATGTGCTCCTGATTTGATTATATTCCGCATTTTCTTCTTTAAATAAAAAAAATTTTTAAATAGGGCATCTGTGCACATCCTACAACTGAATTTCTAACATATACCCTGAGTTACTCCTTGGATGTACGGGGAGAAGAACGTGTCCTAAGGAATCAATACCCAGCTATTGTCTATTACAGAATTAGAAAATAATTTTCTATTTCCAACTACTATTTAATGATGCCTTCTTGGCTAATGAAAACCAAGTTTGCAGAACTTAAGATCAACTGTTTCTGCCTTAAGCTGGCTCTTTTCTGAGGTGTTATGCAAAGAGGGCAATGGGGTAAGAACAGATTAGTGGTTTGCAGAGACAGATGTGAAGCAGAAATCAAGTAAGAAAGGTTTTGAACCCAGAGAAAAATAAATGAACACAACTTTACTCAATCTTTTTATTTACTTTTTTAAAAAAATTTTGTTCAGGGGGAGGTAATTAGGCTTATTTTTTATTTTTTGATGGAGGTACTGGGGATTGAACCCAGGACCTTGTGCATGTTACGCATGCACTCTACCACTGAGCTATACCATCCCCCCAACTTTACTCAATCTTAAAAGCTTTTTTCATTTGCCTTTGAAAAGAAAACCTAAAACCAAATATACACATGCCCACAAAAATGCAAAATGGCCTCTTAATATAGGATCAGACCAACCAAATATGCTCTGACATTCTGTAATTTCTAAGTATATGTGCATTGATGTTAAGTATTACAATATGGTTTGTTTTTAAGACCCCCTATTTCCTGGGTTCAACCCTATTTTAGAATTGACTGAAATAACATACCTTTTTAGTAAGACCAAGATCCCCTTTCTTGGGCATAAATCCAGGGTCTAAATCATTGGATTCAAGAAGTTTCTTAGTTGGCTTTCTCTGACGCTTACTTTCATAATTTCCTGAAAAGCACATATCTTTTCATTAGGTGATTGAGAAACTGGGCACAAGCTAATTTAAAAAAAATTCTATACATCATGCAAAAATTGGTCACATTTTAAT